CCCCAAATCCACCCCTAATCCTACCCATCTCCAGCCCTTGGATCTTGATCCGACTCCTCCCCGTGGATCTTATGTACTACATTGAGGTGCTGCTGGATTTACTTGTCCAAAGGACAAGCGTATGAAAAGGCTTAATTTCGAGCCCTGCCTATAGCAATGTCATCAGGATACACACCGGTAGGCAGTGGCCCACCTTACCGGGTGACCACATCGTGGTCCACCAGAATTTATAGTTTACCCACCTCTTTTTTTACCACTACACCTCTGGCTATAGCCTAAGCTTACATTTATAAATATAAACTTTATTTCTATTCAATTTTCAAAATTATTTAGGCATATACTGTGCATGTCACACACACACCTTTTGATGTAAATAAAAGACGAGAGTGGTAAATGTTATGAACATATTATCATGTTACAGTTCAGCCTATTATTGATTTTTATTTCCACTTCCCTTTTATCCAAAGAGACGGAACTATTTGCACTGTATTTATCGATGGGAAATGCTAAAATAATCTGTCATAGGTCTACTGTGGCTCACATTACTGGGGTCGCAGAGCCCCCATTACCAGCAACATTTCTGCTTCAAATATTGTGCGTAGTTAACAGTGAGTGGTGGTTTCAGACATTGTTTTATTAAAGTGCATTTATTAATACTCTTATTCTGCCCGACAGAAAGAAAAGCTTGTACTGAAGGCGGAGCGGTTTGACCAATCAGATGAAAGGGGCGTTTCAGCGCCGCCCACGTGTGCAAATGAAATATCGAACCCATAAACCGATTTGTAAACCACAAACGAAAAATGAAACATCGAGCCAAAATCTAATTTTTCGTTTTTTAAACTAAACAAAAAAACGAATAAACGAGCTGGATTTCATTTCTCGTTATTCCATTCCAAACAGGAAATCAAATGACCAAAAGATACACGGACCGTTTTCATTTCTCGTTATTCCATTCCAAACAGAAAATGAAATGATCAAAAAGTACACGGACCCTCTTTGAACTGAGCAGAAGATCATGTTGTTCACTTTATGTCCTGCAGAGGGTTTTTTGACAGTCAAATATACACATCATGCAACTATTTATGTCCAATTTTATTTGTTTTGAATTGATTTTTAACGTTTTCTGTTTAGCAATTAAAACCAGAATGACTGTGTGCTTGGGTTTGGATATTAAGTCATCATAAGTATTATCATTGTGAAATTGGGGAATGTTGCAACACATTTTGTTTCAAATGTTTTTTTGCAAACAAAATGCATAATTCAATAAAAATTATGAAAATTGTACATTATTATTCTGGAATATGTCTCTGTCTTATCGGTGTTTGTTGTCAGCAGTTAGTTATCAGTGCTTGTATCTCTTCTCTGCAGGTGTCAGACTTTGGCGCTGTATGTACACTGAAGTGTTTCCCACATTCACTCTCATGACAGCTGGGTGACTTTGTCAGCACTTTATCATGTGTGTGTCTCCTCAGTAAAGTGTCTGTAAGGTGGGGGAGGAGTCCCGTTCATCAACAGTGGCGTTCTCTTGATAAATATGGAGATATATTGTCTGATTTGTCGTTGTATCTGTTCTCTTGAAGTTTAACTCTGAATGTGATTGGTGGTCGTCAGAAGCCCCTCCTCTCTCTACCTTTATCTTTCTCACCAGAGCAGACAAGATTATCTTTTTCTTCAGAATTGCTAAGAGAGCTGATGAAAAAGTTTGTACTAAAGTGCAGAGCAGAAGAAGATGAAGAGCTGTCTGACAATCTTTCTGATGTCCACAGTCTTCACACTCGCCAGTGCAGGTATGTTACACTCAGTTAAAGGGTCAAACAGTTCCTTTCAACATATTAAATGAAAGTAGTTTTATATTTAACACAAGGATCTTCCTGTGTACTATCAATAAGTTTTGTAATGTTTAATTTCTCTTAGTTTCATTTATATAGATTATTGTTTATATTCGGTTACTGATAGTGATTCATTTTATTTTAATGAATTTGCTCATGGAAGAAATAAATTCGATTTTCACTGATTATTTTTTCTTTTTTTGTAATTGCATTAAATGGCCTTGTGGTTTGATGTGTTTTTAATATTATACATGCAGTTTTTATGACTTCATATTGAGCGAAATGCAAAACGATTTTCACACCACAGGACTATTTAAGTGACCTGCAAAAAAGCAGCATAATTTATAAATGTATGGATAAACGACTCTTGTGTACAGGCAACGTGAGGTTGGTTGGTGGTAACCCTCCCTGTGCTGGTAGAGTGGAGGTTCTTCATAGAGGTCAGTGGGGAACAGTGTGTGATGATGGCTGGGATATGGCTGATGCTGCAGTGGTGTGTAGAGAGCTGGACTGTGGTAAAGCATTACGTGCAGTTGGTGATGCTCACTTTGGACAAGGATCAGGACCAATATGGATGGATGAAGTGAAGTGTACTGGATCAGAGTCAACATTGACGAAGTGTAAATCAAAACGAGGTGTAAATAACTGTGGTCATGGTGAAGATGCGGGAGTCATTTGCTTAGGTAATACTATCCAATCTTCCTACTGTAAATGTTTTGTTAGCAAAAGAAACTGAACAGAATTAATTTCCTTATCTCAATTTTGAAAAATTGATAACGTTGTTTATTTTTTGTTAATTTAAACACACAGGTCGCCTCCCCAGACTCATAAATGGATCTCATCTGTGCGCTGGGAGATTAGAGATACTTCAAATAAAGATGTGGGTTTCAGTGTGTGACGCTGCCTTTGACCAGCAGGATGCAGAGGTTGTGTGTAGAGAGCTGGACTGTGGGGCTCCTGTACAGGTGCTGGGAGAAGATGCTTTTGGCAAAGGAGACGCTCAGATGTGGACACAAGAGATTCAGTGCAGAGGAAATGAATCACACTTTGTGTTCTGTCCTACATCCAACTCTTCAAATACACACTGTTCCCATGAAAATGCTGTAGGAGTGATATGCTCTGGTTAAGTCATATTTGCCCTCTCTTTACATATATTGCAAACATAAAGAGATTAAATCTCTTTTCTAAAGAGAAGTAAGTGTCCTTAAACTTTTGTTTTGTTTCAATAACCTTTATTCAGGTTACACAGATCTCAGACTGGTAAACAGTTTAGACTCCTGTTCTGGAAGAGTGGAGTTTCGATTCCTCAATGAATGGGGCACAGTGTGCAATGCATGCTGGGATATGAGAGCTGCCAGTGTCCTCTGTAGACAGCTGAATTGTGGGATTGCTGTGTCTGTTGTGGGATCAGACTGGTTTGGAGAGGGAAGTGGTGAAATCTGGGCTGATGTGTTTGATTGTGACGGGAATGAAACAAAACTCTCAGAATGTTCCATCTCTTCATGGAGTCGAGCTGAATGTTCTCATAGACGAGATGTTGGAGTCATCTGCTCTGGTGAGGGGATTTTTTTTTTTTTTTTTTTATGCATAAAATACCTTGCAATATCTTGACTAAAATGCCAGATATTTCCATCAGGTTCCTCTCTGGCTGTTCGTGACGGTCTGGTGCGGTTGTCTGGAGAGAGACAGTGTGAGGGGGAGCTGGAAGTTTCCATCCATCAGGTCTGGAGGAGAGTTCTGCTGGACTCCTGGAGTCTCACTGAATCCTCTGTGGTCTGCAGACAGCTGGGCTGTGGCTCTGTGCTGAACTTCTCCGGCTCCTCTTCCTCCAGTCCTGAACACAGTCATGAGTGTGTGATGGGCTTCCAGTGCTCTGGGAGTGAAGCTCATCTGGGGAACTGCAGCTCTCCACAAACTCTCAACTGCAGCTCCACACAACAGCTGTCAATCACCTGCCTTGGTGAGCACAACAACATCTGGGCAGATTCTTCAGTTGTTTGTGATCAATAATGTGTTTTTCTCTCTCTGAATATCAGGTCGTGGGTCCATCAGGCTGGTGGGTTCTGGGGGAGACTGTGCAGGGAGGCTGGAGGTTTTTCACAGCGGCTCATGGGGGACAGTGTGTGATGACTCCTGGGATATTAAAGATGCCCATGTGGTGTGCAGACAGCTGCAGTGTGGAGTGGCCCTCAGTAACCAGCAGGTACCAGCCTGGTTTGGTCCTGGTTCTGGACCCATATGGCTGGATGAGGTGGAGTGTGAGGGGAATGAGACGTCCCTGTGGAACTGCTCTTCTCCAGGCTGGGGGAAACATGACTGTCGACACAAGGAGGATGTAGGAGTCGTGTGCTCAGGTAAAGTCTTAAACATTTTAGGAATCATTGCAAGAAATTTACCAACAGCTGCTACTTTCAATAAACAACAAGAACATAATTTCAATGTAGTATTTGGAATTAAATAGTTTTTTAGTTAATTTACAAAAATAAAAATAACTGAATTGAATTTAACATTTTCTATCTAGAGTTTAAAGAGATCAGGTTAACTGAGGGCTGTGAAGGGAATGTGGAGGTTTTCTACAATGGATCCTGGGGTAATGTGTGCTGGAACCAGATGGACAGAGACACAGCGAGTCTGATCTGTCAAGAGCTGAACTGTGGAAGATCTGGCAGTGAACCCAGTAATTCAGTGGGTCTGAGATCTGCTCCTAATTGGTTAGATCATCTTAAATGTAGAAAATATGACCAAACATTGTGGCAGTGTCCATCTTTACCCTGGGGCCAGAACAACTGTTACGATAATGAGGTGGCCAATATCACTTGCTTTGGTAGGTCTTAATTTAATTATTTTTTCATGATGAATTTTTGTTTATTTTAGAGGTTTTTTTTATTAGTATTTTTTAAAGTAAACTATAATCATACGTTGTTAAAGTTATTTTCTTTTTCATCTAAATTGGAGGATTGTTGAATTTCACTTTGTAATCTCAGAGAAACAGTGTCCTGAGTCTCTTCAGAGTCGTCTGACATGTTCAGCATCTCCTCACCAGAGACAGTGTTCAAGTGAGTAGGTTATTTTCTGTTAATGTGAGCAATAATATACGCTTGCCTAATTGCTTTATCTTCAAACATATGAATACTTGTGAATTATCTATCCGGTATGATACGTACATTTTAGAGCATGTTCCTCTCAGACTGAGTGGAGGTTTGGGCCGGTGCTCTGGGAGGCTGGAGGTGTATCATAACGCTGTGTGGGGTTCAGTCTGTACTGATCTGTGGGACATCAGCGATGCTCAGGTGGTCTGCAGGCAGCTGGGTTGTGGAGACGCACTGAGGGCTGATGGGAATTCAGTCTTTGGTGCTGGTGAAGGTGTTGTGTGGCTGAACAGAGTCGAGTGCAGAGGGAATGAGATTCACCTGTGGGACTGTCCTCTCTCCCTGAAGAACCACACTGACTGTTCCCACAAAGAGCACGCTGGACTCACATGTGCAGGTCACTGCAACACACTGAACAATATTAGTCAAACTATTTTACATAATTTTAATGCTAATACCAATACTTTGCTAATACTTTGTGTATTTGCATAATTTTTTCTGTCTGTTTTGCCAGATTTGTCAGTGTCCACTACTCCTGCCACAACAACATCAGCTTCTCCTCCAGTTTCTCAGACAGTGCACTCAACATCAGTCACTCCTCCACAAACTCCTCCAGCAGCGTCTCTCTCTGTGCTTGTGGTTGTACTGGGAGTTTTGCTCTTCCTGCTCTTAGTGCCACTGCTTATACTGGTTCAGCAGAACAGAGTGATGAGGAGAGGTAGGAGAGATCCAGAGACTGTCATATTGTGTCTTATTCAGTGTGTGATCAGTCATGTGTTGTGAACTGACAGCAGGTTTGTCTGTCTACACTCACAGCTCTTTCTAAGAGGAGACACAGGACGACGACTGAGGCCGTTTATGAGGAGATTCATCACAGGCCCGTTAACAGACACAGTCACATCACAATCTCATCAGGTGAAATGATCACCATTATTAATGATAATGACAAAACTATTTATACTGATGTGAAAAGTCAAAGCGATGAAAGTATTTGTTTATTTTATTTTACCATCCTGACGTTTAATGATTCTACAGGTCTTTTTGACAGTTAAAGTTAAGAAATGTTAATCCTGTTAGGCTTCCTGCTGTTAACCACTGAATTCAGCAGTGAAAACCACAGCGCTGTGTTTGTACTGCAGTCAGTGAGAGCGCACACAGGTGTTAGTGTGAGGAGAGACACCCATGTCAGCGTTTCTGAATGCAGTTTATCATTTAACAACTTTTTGGCTGTTATACTGGTTCTAGACTGTAAGAAAAATGTAAAAAAAAAAACAATGTAGAAAAACGGAAAAGGGGCTGGTAATTTTCTGAATTTTCGGTTATTTGTACTGAAAATTCATTCATATTTTAACTGACTTTTCTTAGTGTATGCTTTATTGGTATGCTTTATTTTTAATTGATGCAGACAACATGGATAAAGAGGCTCCAGAGGACTATGATGCCATCACCGATATACTCAATTGTGAGAATTTTCCATAAAAAAGTATTACTTCCAAATAAATATGAAGTAAGAGAGCAGATATCACTTAGTGCTTGTTTAGAGACAGTGATGTTATCTCTGTATTTTGACACAGATCGCACGGATGAGACTTATGATGATGCCACAACCATGAGAGAAGGTGATTTTTACAGTTTAGTTTTTCACTAAACTGTTTTTCATCTGCTGTAAATCTTTAAAGGAAATGCTGAAGAATTATGATGATGTCATCTCTTGTGAACATATGTTGGAGAAGTCGGTTTCAATCAGAAGCGTCTTATTATGTTCACCTCCGACAACCAATTTCATCTAAAAAAATAATATTTTTTTCACCATCTTACTTATTGTCATTTGCTTTCGTCTCAAGTAGTCACCGGCTGGTGCATGTCTAGACTGTAAATTCTGAGGATATTACGAAATTTATTTTCTCTTTTTTTTCATCTTTTTTAATTAACAGAGAATGTTGAAGAGGAGCCAAATGAACAGAAAGAGAGTGTGTGAACTGCCTACAATTACTGATTCTCTGGTTTCTTCTTATAATCATTTTATCATTATTATTTGCTTCCTGGTTCTTTTTATATCAGGTAATATACTCTTCTGAGAAAAAAAAGGCCCAAGCCAAAAACTGCTAAATATTTAGTGGTCTTTTAATCACAAATAACTGGTCAGGAAATTAGCAAGAATTGCACAAATAATGTAGATAAAAGAAACTTTGCATCCAAATCCAACTTGCAGACATTTTTTTTTACAGGGAGATTCAGTGCAATGTAAATGGCGTCAAACAGTTCATGAGTAGTTGAAAAATGTTTCATCGGCTTGATCTCAAGCCACTTCTTGGTTGTCTTTGCAATCTGGGCAGGGCCATTGTCTTGTTGAAAAATAACATCTGATCATTCCTCTTTAGATAACAACAACTCTTCATTTGTGGGAAGCAAGCCATTCTGCAATATTCTCCTGTACTTCAAAGCATTAAATGACTTTTTAAAGTGAAGCAGCTAACCAATACCAAAGCTAAAAAGACTCCCCACACAATGACACAGTCTCTTCCTCCGTGCATCACTGTGGTAGAGATGCATTTATTATTATATTTCTTAGCAGATTTCGAAGACCAACATCACCACTTCACACAACTTCCCATATTCTGCCAAAAACATTTTGTATTTGATGTTTTTCTGAGACAGCAATGGCTCTTCCAGTAATGCATTTGCTTAAATTTTTGCTAATTTCCTGACCAATGATTTGTGGTTAAGACAATTAAAAGCTTAGTGTTTAGCCATTTTGGGCTTAGGCCATTTTATTATTATTATTATTATTATTAATTCTGTCGTATTTTAAGTACCTTCCAGTGGAGAGAGTTTCGGTTTATTCCTCCCGGAAGCCGCTTTACATTGAGCTGAATTGTAGCGGTCGCTGTCCGTGGTCCTGAAGAGGCTAATTAATGCAGTTGTCGTGGAAATAAGTGACCAATCAGACGAATCAAAAATTTTAAAACAAAAAAACCTACCAGAGAATATGTTGAGCTTGATGTCGTATAAATAGCCACGTCATAGCCTACATTCCAACTTCCATCATTAAAATGGTTTGTTTTATTTAATTACAATATTTGGTTGTGCATAGTGCCCCGACTAAAAACATAATTCAATTATATCAATAACGTTAGTCATACGATGGGCTATTGCTTAAACCATAAAGGATAGGCTATATGATTGCATGATGTGTCGACTTTTTCTCTAGCCAACAACAACAACAAAAGATGAAGAGCTTCTGTATCGATATCAACTGTGAAATTGATACATATCTTGATCATGTTCTGTCTTTTGTAAATAATTTCAGTGAAGTAAATAGTAAAGTGGGATATGAAGAAATTCCCCTCAAAGCTCAAATAAAGAGTATGCTGATATTCTTTTATTTACTGCCATCTTCTGGAATACAACGGTAGTGCTTGATTGTATAATGTACTCCTTCAACTGTAATTTAAAATGAAATAATTGATTAAATCATTTTTTTTTTGTGTCCATGATTGAGTTTCCATTATCATTTTTCATATAATGATGATAATATTTCCCCGCAAGATTTTAAAACCCTAAATTGAATTAGCAATAGCATATTAGCAATACATGCGGTAAACTTTTAATAGAATGTATTCGAACCAACAAAATATATAGTTAATTATTTACGAGTGAATAGTTTTGAGCAAAATGACTGCGGTCCCTTTAATTACTGATACGCATGTGGTGTATTTGATTGGTCGAGTTAAGTTTGCAGACGAGGACGACGGAAAGCAGTAAAGTTAGCTGTTTAGCAAAATAAAAATATTCGCACGATTTATAACATCACGCATGCTCATTACAAGGAAATGTAAGTTATATCCTGTCTAAAAACAAAACATGTTAAGAGTTGACGAGGCAAAATGACCGCATTATATGACCGTGACCACACGGATATGGTAACGTTAACGTTAACTCGTCAAGTAACGTTAACGTTACTGTTGTTTTGACAGTTTCATTAGTAATCAATTATAAGTTAAATAGTGTGTTAGTGCTCTGCTCTTTTTTTTTTTTAGCTAACCTACAACAGAGTAAACAATAATGAGGGAAGGACTTTCCTAGCCTTAGATTTCAGAGTTTGTTTATCATGCTAACGTTAAATGTTTGCGTTTTGGGAGTAGAGTTGTGAATAAATTTGTTATAACGTCCTTTGTTTCGCCGTTTCAGCGCAAGTATTGTCTCTGAAGGAAAGTTCTCCCGATATGAATATGCAATATGGATCTTACAGGTTTGAGAACTTCTTATTTATTTTGTCATTACTGCCATAGGGTTGTTAAAGCCGTTCGATTGATGCTGCTTTACTCTGATTTCAGTTTCAAGCCTGTCTTTCTTACATGTCATTATCATACAATGAATGTTGTATTATTGTAGGCCTACTTGTGTTCTGTTAATAACTAAATTTGCTCGCCCATCTTATCTTACCTTAATTTTTAAATATAAAGTATTATTTAGTACCGGTCAAAAGTTTGGAACCATTACTATTTTTAATGATTTTGAAATATGTGTCTTAGGCTCATCAAGCCTGCATTTATTTGATCAAAAATACAGGAAATAAAAACAGTAATATTTTGTTTTCTATTTGAATATGCTGTAAAATATTATTTTTTTCTGTGATGCAATTGCAAAAGCTGAATTTTCAGCATCATTACTCCAGTCTTCAGTGTCACATGATCCTTCAGAAATCATTCTAATAATGCTGATTTATTATCAATGTTGGAAACAGTTGTGCTGTTTAATATTTCTTTTATAACCTGCGATACTTTCAGGGTTCTTTGATGAATAAAAAGTAAATATACATATATATATATATTTATAAAAGAACAGCATTTATTTAAAATAGAAATCTTTTGTAATAATATACGCTACCCTTTCGGGGTCAGTGATTTTTTTTTATTTCTTTTTTTGAAATAAATCAATACTTTTATTAAACAAGGATGTGTTCAATTGATAAAAAGTGATAGTAACGATTTATATTGTTAGAAAAGATTTCTATTTTGAGTAAATGCTGTTCTTTTTAACTTGGATCCTGAAAAAAGTATCGCAGGTTCCAAAATAATATTAAGCAGCACAAAACGTTTCCAACATTGATAATAACTGAGTATCAAATCAACATAGAATGATTTCTGAAGGATCACGTGACACTGAAGACTGGAGTAATGATACTGAAAATTCAGCTTTGCATCACAGAAATAAATGACATTTTAAAGTATATTAAAATAGAAAACCATTATTTAAAAATTTTCACAATATAATCATTTTTCCCTGTATTTTTTATCAAATAAATGCAGGCTTGATGAGCATAAGAGACTTACTTCAAAACATTAAATACAGTAATTTTACACTTGAAAGTGACTTAGGGGAGCCCTGGGTCACAGCAGCACAATATTTAGCTGCAATTCATGTTTTGATCACAAGGTGGAAACATGTGACTGACTGAGCAAATCAAAACTTACTAACATATGTGTGAATGTGATGTCTATATCCCCTTTTCTCTCTATCCATCCTTCATCATGCTGTATAAGTAAAACACAAACAAAAACAACAAAATTAATATTGAATTCTACACATTCCTCCACTTGCTGTCCTATAAAACAGCCAAAGGAGTTCAGAACTATGGCATTTTTGCTCTGCGATGGTCAATAGACCAGAGCAATACAGATATTGTGCTCAAGTTATTACAACATTAGTGATGGTCTATTCACTGCAGTTCAGCTGGATGATATTGTAATGTGAAGTGTTACTCACAAGAAATTAAATCATGAGTGCGCTCCGGCAATAAAGGATGTGTTCTCAAAGAACAGCTGTGACTGACACCAGCTTTATCTGCCGTCTGGTCACCCTGGGAACGCAGGTATACCTATTAAATTCTTACAGAGACTGCAGAAGCAGACGGGGGTTTCCATAGAGACCACAGGAGGCCAAATCCACAATAAGCAACTCAAAAACTATCTTTACACCCCGCGGCTTAAACATTCCATTAAACTTCCCAGCCTGTAATGAAATAATAGATGGATGGATGGAGGATTTATAAACATCTGTTCATTTTATGACCTTTCAAAGTTCAAAGTGATTTGCAGAGAGACTTAATTGTGTGTCTTGTATGAGTTGGAAATGGAGGTTGTTGTGCCGTCTTATATTGGAAGGTCTTTTTGCACATTGCTACCATTCTAAAATGTACAGTGCAGGCAAGATATGCCTGTAACCCTCCAGCTCACACTCGCCTTCTTATCATTCTATTTGGCACCTACGGATGGACCGGCTCAGTACGCCACTGGCAGGCTTATCTCCGCTGCTCACCAAATTGAGATGGGACCTGTGTCTAGCCGACAGTATCAAACAGCTTTAGCCTGACCATGCGGGCATTAATCTACCTCCCCCTTGATGGTCCTTATTCTCAGATATCCAGCCTGTCACCACTAGAGCCAATAGAAGAGTTTGCCTTCCCGTAATGGACATCAAACTCTGACCACAGATGTTTTGCATGCTGTTAAAAGCCTGATGATTATGTGCCAGATGGTTAGCAGTCTCACTTTAGGGCATATTATGCTAAAGATATTTGCTAAATACTTCAAGGCCCTTTTTTATTTAGATAAGATTAGAGACCAATTTTGGAGTTTGCAGAGAAGGTGAAGTGATGGCCTGTGGTGTTGTTGCAATGGGTCACATGCACCGATGGATGAGAAAGGAGGCTATGGAATATATATATATATATATATATATATATGGTCACACTTTAGGGTCCAATTCTGACTATTAACTAACTATTAACTATGACTTTTGCTTCAAAAATACTCCTAATTACTGTTTTATCAATGTTTAGTAAGGTAGTTGTTCAGTTTAGGTATTGGGTAGGATTAAGGGATGTAGAATATGATCACCCAGAATAAGGCATTAATATGTGCTTTATAAGTACTAATAAACAGCCAATATCCTAGTAATATGCATGTTAATAAGCAACTTGTTAATAGTGAGAATTGGACCCTAAACTGAAGTGTTACTACATACAGTATATAGTTAATAAGTTAAATATGTAATGAATAATTTCAGACTTGCTGTGTGCTTTATTCAATTTTTCTAAACCAAATGGATTGGAAGTTTTATTGAAGGAGTATTAAACAGCCAAATATTACGATTAATCAAGAATAAATGCTACTTTAATTTCGAG